AGGGGGTAGGGCGGGAGGTGAAGGGGGAGGGTGGGGAATTGCGTCGGGCTGTTTCTGTTGATAAAGTCTTCTTTTTTGTTTTGTCATGACTATTTCTCTGGTTTCCCAGATCTCTGTATGTTTCTCTTGCACAGAAGGAAACTGGGCGGTATTTCTTCTCCTACAGGTCCTCACGGAGTTTCCACCTCTACTTTATTATAGATATCTGTTTATTGCGTTTATAATTTGAGATGCTTTTAGAAGTGTGTGTATCACGTAGCCGCAAAATTGTCTGCGTCTAGCTGCTTTGGTTTTCTTTTTTTTGCGTTTTCCTTTTTTTGTTTTTCTCTTTGTTTCTGCTTTTGTGTCTTTGCTTACTGTTGCTCCATTTCTCTTGCGGTTTTTGCAGGTGCGGAAATACATGAGGAAGTATATTAAGCCGGGTCTGCTGATGACGGATATTTGTGAGACCCTGGAGAATTTGGTCCGAACACTTATTGAGGAGAATGGGCTTCAAGCAGGGATAGCTTTCCCAACTGGCTGCAGTTTGAATTGGTACGTACTTGAAACGGTAGAAGGATGCCAGATGGGGAACTGAAACGATGACCAGGAACAGTGCATGAACAGTGCAGGAACAGTGTGTGGAAGGAACAGTGTGTGGAAGGAACAGAAGGAGGTTGTAACGAAGAACCCGTTTTGGTCCTAGGAGGCTGTTCCTGGCGAGGAACAACAACTGCAAACAGTCCGGGAACAGTCAGGAATACAAGCTTGTGGTGCAGCAAAGTGCAGCAGCACACACTTTGTTCCTAGTCGGCTGTTCCTGGTCAAGTTGAACCACTGAGAACAGTCCAGGATCAATAGATTGCAAGCGCTTGTGTCGAAGCACACAGATTTTGTTCGTAGTAGACTGTTCCTAGTGGGAAAAGAACTATTTGGGAATAGTCGAGGAACATGGCGAAAGGAATACAAGCTTGTGTTGAAGCACACTTTTTGTGCCCATGGAGCTGATGCTGTTGAGATGACCCGCACCTGAGCATGTCCAGCTTCGTTGTGCCGGAAATGGATCGGGCCTCAAGTGGTTAACTTTCTCTTTTACAAAGGTGGATATAAGGTGACCACTGCATTTGCCCAAATCGGATGCAGATGCGGGGAATAGGACCCTGGATCTGGCTTAAAGGGTGCATTACCTGCAGCAGGAAGAACCTGGAATGTTTGCGTGTGTGGGTGTGAGTGTGAGTCCGTGAGTGGGCATGTGCGTGTGTGTGTATGTGTGTATGTGTGTGTATGTGTGTGCATGTGTGTGTATGTCGACAGCTACATGTGTATGTGGACAAAAGCTGTGTGTGTGTGTGTGTGTGTGTGTGTGTGTGTGTGTGTGTGTGTGTGTGTGTGTGTGTTCGGAATTAATCTCACGGTGCGTTACGCCATGTGACTCCACCATTACAGTCGTACACCAGGTACAGCCACAGCCCATCATGTACCGCAACGAATGCCACCCATCCATGCTACCTTTTCAACGAAAAATGACAGGTTACTTGCACACAAATCAGACAGGCAAACTAAGAAAAAAAGTTCCGAGAGGATGCTAAGGCCAGAAGGGAAACGATAGGCTGGAGGGCAGACATCATACAAGCATACCAAACAAGCAAACAGGCAAACCAAAAAAAGGATGCTAGGACCAGGAGGAAAACAAAGGGTTGGAGGGCATGGGGAGGCGGGAGGGCAAACAACATACGAGTACACTAAACAGGCAAACCAGAAAAAAAAAAAAGAACAAGTCCCAAAAAGAAACAAAAATTAAAAACTGATGATAGATTGTTTCGTCGGAGTTGCACCGGCTCATCAGGAGGCTGAACCCTCGACAATCTGCGGAATCTCCATATTTGATGGTTTGGGTCATGAACCCTTTGACCCATGTTGAAGGCAGACTGTCCCCCAGCGGAACATAACAGTGGGCAGCAACACGGCTGCACAATGCCAAAAACGGCTTCAAGGAATGACAAGGCACACAGGACATGCGGCGTGGCAAGCACACAGTGAAGCACAAGGCAACACCACCGAGGTCAACGACACTGCAAGGGATGACAGGGAAAGCAGATGAGTAGCACAGCAACCATGCGGTGAGGCACAAGGCAACACCAACAAGGCAACCGAACTACAAGGTGCGCAAGCAAAGGACATGGAAGGCACAGCCAGCGGAAGGGCAGCAAGGCAGTGGAGCAGCGAAGCGCAAGGCAACACCAACAACAGGCCCACAACACACAGCGAACGCAGCAGCTTTCCGAGAAGGAACTGTGATGCAAGCGGAACGGGCAGCAAGGCAGCGGCGGAGCGCAGATGAGGCAGTCCACACATCCAATACGGAGCAAAGCGGCACATCACCTACTCACATCACGGGTGAACCCCGCAGACTGTTGGTTCCCACCACCTACTGAGCCAGGGAGTCGCTCCGACGAACATCCATCATCACCCGTAGGCCAGACAGACATCCCGAACTGAGCGGGCCCCTCTAACAGTGTTACAGGCACTCCGAATGAGGAATGACCGACTGTTTGGCACTATTTGAGGGTGCTCAGCTCGGCACACAAAAATACTCGGAAAAATTGGAAGATAGCATACAGAAAGAGAGACAAACAAACATACATGAAATTGATTTTGTGTGTGGGGTGTGTGTGTGTGTTGGGGGGTGGGGGGGATTACAACAGCTATGTGGGCTCTATTGGAAGCGGCATGAAGTGACCAGGGTATGTGCAGGGCTTTTGCATTTACTGCTTTTCTTCTTCGGTGTCCCAGAGTGTACTGGCATTAAGACTGCTGCAATTACGGTCCGCTGCGGGCGTATCTGACTACAATTACGTCCAGAGCAGAGTACAAAAGGTTCTAGTATGAGTATGCCCTCAGAGTTGCGGACCAAATTCATGCAGATAACTGTACGGATGCATGGCTCTGCCAATCTGCACTCTGATTAGCCCCCCCCTCCTCCACCCCACTTTTGGTTTGCCTGCTAGGGGCATTCAGCCAATCACAGCAAATTATGGAGGGTGGGTTTACTCGAGAAACACCCTAAACCCAACTATCCTCTGAAGCAGTATCAAAACAACACCCTCAAACATAAATATGTCTCTGTGGAGGAATTGAACCCATATGCCCTGCTGGATAGTCTAATCATGAATGTGTACAAGTTATCTGGTCAAATGCACTCATGATAAGGGTGCATTCAACTGCATTGTGTTCCAGGGAAGAAGGTAGTGAAACCGGAGCTTGGCTTAGACAGGTCCGCACTTGCAAGGGAGGGCATTAAACCCACCAGCACCGTGTCGGGCTACCCATCAGAATGCTCCAGTGAACACGCAGCCGGAGCTAGGTGGGCCTTCCAGAGGTTGATGGCCCAAGGGGGAAGGGAGGGACAAAAACATTTGAGTGTCCTCATTTCGGCGGTTTTTCACTTCGATCTCCTTCTTAGGGCGTCCTTGGACCGGGACATTTCTTGACTCAAACTGGTCTCTATTAAACCCAAATACATCGAGCAAAGTCTTGGTCTGATTATGATCTTAGAAAATAGAGCGATTGTCGATGATGAACCTTGACAGTGCCCCCAGCCAGATCACACAGAGAGAGAGAGAGAGAGAGAGAGAGAGAGAGAGAGAGAGAGAGAGCTGGCCTGGTGTAACGATACTGTGTTTGCAGAAGTGCTTGCAAAACAATTTTCTCCGTTTGGAAAAGAGCGCCGCCTCCAAAGCTTTGTTCTATCCGTAAGGATTTGAACTGAGGAGTTGTTTCCCGACAGTAGCTATATGTGTAGGGCCTGTAGGCTCTACCATTTGGCCACAGGGAAGGTACAAGAGATTTTCTGTTTCTTTTTTTTTTTTTCCCCTCTCTTTTTATGTGTAGGGCCTGTAGGCTCTACCATTTGGCCACAGGGAAGGTACAAGAGATTTTCTGTTTCTTTTTTTTTTTTCCCCCTCTCTTTTTATGTCGATTGCCTGACGCAGCAGTGGCTGTTTCTTTTTTGCTGTTGTGCCCCCCCCCCGGGGGCCTCCTTCCCCTCGTTCTCTCCCTCAGGGTGGCCGCTCATTGGGCGCCCAATACAGGAGACAAGACTGTCCTGCAGTATGATGATGTCATGAAGCTCGACTTTGGAACGCATATTAATGGTGGGTCATGAAGCTCGATTTCGGAACCTGCCCTTTTTCATGACCAGATTCGGGCCTCCTTCCCCTGGTCTAGGGCTGCACATCTGGTTCTCCTTTTTTTTTTTTGGTGCTCGAAGATAAGGATCCTTTGTGGGAAAAAAAAATAAAAAATAAAAAATGAAAAATTATAGTCTGGAAATGGTGGCGCATTTGCACAGAAGAGCTCAGCACTGTGGTGCATTGATGATCAGAAGCGCTATGAAGCCCAAATTGCTCCGTTGTCTATCTTTGGATTCAGAAGGCATGAATCTGGTCATGGAAAAGGGCAGGTTCTTGCTATCTTTGTGTTGAGAAAGCATGAAGATGGTCATGGAAAAAGGTCAGGTTTGTAGTATCTTTGTATTCAGAAAGCGTGAGTCTAATCTTGGAAGAGGTCAGGTTTGTACCGTCTTCGTCTTCAGGAAGGATGAATCTGGTCATGGAAAAGGTCAGGTTCTTGCTATCTTCGTGAAAAAGTCAGGTTTGTACTATCTTCGTGTTCAGGAAGGGTGAAACTGGACATGGAAAAGGTCAGGTTCTTGCTATTTTCGTGTTAAGAAAGCACAGCACTAGTAGAGATTACTCCTTCCTCAGTCTATGACTTGCTCTCCCCAACGGCATGTTGCTTCTTCTTCTCCTTCTTCTTCTTCTTCTTCTTCTTGTGTATTGTTCTGTGCGTGTACGTGTGTACTGTTTTCCCTTTGTGTGTTTTCCTCTGCTGATCCCTAATCTCCTTTTTTTTTCTTTTGCTTTTCTGTTTCTGTCGTTGTGAGCCACTGTGAGCCAACAAGGATAATGCTCCGTTTGCTGTTCTGATGTTATGGGTTCTGTCTTGGAATTAGAGTGTATGTTTGTACTCAGGTCATGACCTTATGACCGACCGATTGCTGGACGACGATCGCATCGTGTGCGATTCCAGCTCCCGATGAAGTAGTTTGAGAGTTTTTCAACTTTTTATGTTCTGTGCCACGCTATCCTCGCGAGTATCTGAGAAAGCTCAAGGCCAGCGGGGGCCACATTGTAAAAAATATCCTCGCAAGATACTTGGCCGGGCTTCTACTGGGGCTAAAAGCCCCCTTAGCAAACCTTTTCATTTCCGCTGTCTTGTATCAGGATTTAAATTTTGAAGTTTTGAACCAATGACCTGTTTACAAAGAACTCGTGTGTGTGTGTGTGTGTGTGTACCAGTCAGCCACTCTTATGTTCGCTTGTGTCGGCACTGATGTTGGCTTTTTTTTATATTTTCTTATGTTGTGCGTCTTTCAGGTCGGATAATTGACGCTGCATTTACGGTTGCTTTCAACCCTGTATATGACCCACTCCTGAAGGCTGTGCAAGAGGCAACAAACACGGGCATAAAGGTACGAGTCGTGGACGAGGGAAAAATAGCGAAATAAAGTACTACAGAAGTCTAAAATGCCAAAATGAATTATAGAGAGATTTGCAAAGCTTCGGGGAAAGAAGGAAAAATAGCAAAACACCGAAAGGAAAAAGAAGTTAAGGTCTTTACCCTTCCTTGCCTTAGATTCTTTTTCAACACCGCCGCTGTTGAGTACTCTTCGGCCCTCTCTCCGCTGCTCGAACGTTCTGCATTTATGTGGATGTCTGGACTAGGTACATTTAGACCGATCCAGCATTTGTGCATGTATCTGGATCATTACCAGCACCAGACACATTTAGAATGTTGTGCATTGGAGTGAAGCCCTTTGTTGGAGGCAAAACATGTAATAATCGGTGTGCATCCTTAGTACATGCAGCTACGCCGGGGGTAATAATCTTTGTGCATCCTTAGTACATGCAGCTACGCCGGGGGTGTACTGTTTTTTGCTTCGGGGACTTCCAATCGATTTGTACTGGAGGTGGTGCAAGAGGCAAAAAGTGTGGAGGACGAAAGGAAGGTACGACCTGGGAATTAGGGGCGAAATCGCAAGACCTTGCAACACTCTAGGGAAGACGGAATGTGTGTGGGGTTGAACCCCAGGTGGCTGGAGGTGTGCCTGCACATTTATTAGGCGCCTTCTCCGGACTTTTTTGGCGCCAGGGTGTCTTGCAGGGAGTGAGCAAACGCATGATAATGTAAACTCCGCACTACATCCACTTCTCCATTTCTTTATGCAACTTTTTCCGCTCTTTACCTTGCCATCCAGAGAAGTCATGCCGCAGGTTAGCGCCCCCGGGATTGGTCGGGGGCCGACCAGCTGACTGTCGGACTGGTCGGCACCTACCGGTCAGGGGTCAGTGGGCACACCGCAATATTGAAAAAAAAAAAAAAAAAAAAAAACAGGGTCCGGAACCCCAAATAACCCCATCAACACCCCCATAGCCCGCTCCCAACACTCCCATACACCCTTCCAAATGTGTTGCACCTTCTCTTTGAAACCTCGCAGAAGGTCAAGGGAGCCGGATTGCATCCGTGCTCAAGATTTTCTGGAACAATGCATAAGATGGTTTGGGACATTGCCTGCAGACATGAGATGGTTTGTGTGTGCGCGTGTCTGTTGAATTTTTAAAGTTGTCCTCTGTGCCCACACCCCAAAAAAAAACAAAAACAAAAGAAAGTGTATGTCTACCCACCTGGCAGAAGTTGCTGTTGATTTTTTTGTTGAGCTGACGAGTGCTATTTATTGCCTGTGTTGGGCGCCATGCCTCTACGGTGTGTTGGGCGCCATGCCTCTACGGTGACGGTGACAGGAAGCAGGCATTGATGTCAGATTGTGTGATATAGGGTGTGCAATTCAAGAGGTGATGGAATCTTACGAAATCGAACTCAATGGGAAGACATACCAGGGTAAGTGAGAGGAAAGCCACTGAAACATAACCCATAACCATAGCCGTTATGCAGAATGGCATGATGCAGAATGCTTGTACGACTGTCCGAATGAAATGTGAGGAGAATCCCCGTTACGGCTAAGCAAATGCGACAGGCATGCATCTGGTACATGCCCGGGTCTATATACATGCACCTGGTTTGTGCCCAGGTGTTTTCACATGTAGTATAATTGTTGAAACCCCAACGAAACCGGTTATCACACCCCCGTGCTTCTTGTCCTTTCCAGCCTTTCTGCCGATTGATATACCCATTTTAAAACAGGGGCTTGTCTTACACCCCGCTGCTGCTTGTCCTTTTTGCCGTTGCTGCCTACGCTACACCAATTTTAAACCAGGGGTTATCTCACACCTTCCTGCTGCAATCCGTTGGTTCGCACTACCTTCTTCCCCCGAAAACAACGTTCGCCGTATAGCTGTATTTGAGGCATCTTTCAGTCTAGATACCCCTGTAATGACTGTACGTTGTATTCGGGGGAAGAAAGTAGTACCCGTCGCTTGGATGTCATGTGAACAGTCGACGCGCTAATAATCATGTTCTTTTGTTGCCATGCAAGAAAGCAAGAAAGCGAGAGAGCAAAAACAACAGGCAGGATCTCTATTCTGTGTAGGTCGCACACTTTCCTGCTCTCTTCGAATACAGATGACACGTGAAACCTGGAGTGTGCGCCAAGAGGAACGATTTGGATCATATTCGATTCTTTCTACCTTACCCGTCAACGAAGTGTTACATTGAAAGTCAATTCTTCGCTGCAATCGTTTTGCGGGGGAGCCTCTATGGAAAAGGGTGATGCGACCTGTGGAGTTTCGTCCAGCAGACGCCTTTTTGAAACTAAACGTTGTCCAGCAGACGCCTTTGTGAAACTAAAGTTAACTGTTTGAGTGGTTTTCCTTTCCAGCAGTCGCCGGAGACTTCCCAAAAAAGGAAAAATACCCGAGAAACTGTAGCACTCAAGAAACTGTCTGGGTCTTCTGTGTAGCCAAGCACGAGTCTTCTTCTTTCAAAAACAAGTATATACCAATCTGAACGGGTGAACGGGTAATCGTTGCAGTGGCACTCTAGTTACTCGGAAGTTTTTCTTACAGAATGTTCCGCGTGGAAGGGGGGCAAACGAGGGTGGAAAGGTGGCAAAAAAAGTGTTGTTGTCCTTCGGGAGCTGGCCAGTAGGGACGACCCGTCGACGGTCTGCCGACCAGTCAGAAAACGACCATCCCCTGATATTTTTTTCAAATCGGAGTTGGGGCTGAGTACAGCCCAAATCTGCTGAGAACCTTTTGGGGATGGGGGGCAATGGGGGCGTTGGAGGGGGGGTATAGGGGGTATTGCGGGGGGTGGTTTGGGGGTGTATTGGGCGTTATGGGGGTGTTGGTGGGAATATTAGGGTTCTGGACCCAGATTTTCGTTTTTGTTTTTTTAATTTCGGGGTGCCGATGACCCCCCGACCGCTAGGTGCCAACCAGTCAAGGGCCTCCATTTAAATATTTTTGCGGGACTAGTGTGGTCAACATTTAAATATTTTTGACAGATTAATGTTATTGATTCACATTGAAAAACTAGGCTACCAGCTGGGCCGTGCAAGGACCAGAGATGGTCCTAACAACAACAACAACAACAAAAAAAAAAAAAAAAAAAAA